GTCAAGTAAGGTGTGAAAGGCAGTTAAAGGCCTTGCCACATTCGTGACATTTGTAAGGTATCTCTCCACTATGAATTCTGTGATGTTGAATAAGGGCTGAGCTCCGGTTAAAGCTCTTGCCACATTCTTGACATTGGTATGGTTTCTCTCCAGTATGAATTCTGTGATGTTGAGTAAGGGTTGACCTGTCATAAAAGGCCTTGCCACATTCTTGACATTCATAAGTTTTCTTGGCATTATGAATTCCCTGATGTTCAGTAAGCCCTGAGCTCAAATTAAAGGACTTGACACATTCTTGGTATTTATAGGGTTTCTCTATACTATGAATTTTGCAATGTCGAGTGAGGTGAGAGTGCAATGTCGAGTGAGGTGAGAGTGCGTATTAAAGGCCTTGCCACATTCTTGACATTGGTAAGGTTTCTCTCCAGTATGAATTCTGTGATGTTGAGCAAGGTGTGAAGGATGTTTAAAGGCCTTGCCACATTCTTGACACTGGTAAGGTTTTTTTCCACAATGAATTTTGCAATGTTGAGTAAGTTCTGAGAATGATTTAAAGGCTTTGGCACATTCATTACAGTTGTAATTTTTCCCTGCTATATGAATTTGTTTATCTCTATTAAGACTTGAGTGATCGTTAAAAGCCTTGCCACATTCTTGACATTTGTAAGGTTTCTCTCCAGAATAGATCTGCAAGTGACCATTTATTGATGAACAGTCCTTTAAGGTTTGACCACCTTCTTCACATTTGTATACTTTTTCTCCAGTATGCATTCGCTGATGTTGAGATAGTGTTGAGTGGCAGTCAAAGGATTTACCACATTCCTTAAAGATGTAAGCTTCCTCTCCCTGAGGGATTATCTCATTGATGTTTAGGCTTGGTGACTGAGTAAACATGGTCCCTGGTTTACTAGATGTGAATGGGCTTTTTCCCTCATGAATTCTCTGATGATCACCAACACTGAAGGACTGGTTACAAGCTTTCCCACATCCATTATCTTTATGAAGACTGTCTCCTGAAGGGAGTATACTGAGGTTAGAGCTTGGATAAAAGCCTTGCCCACATTTATCACATTCATGATGGTTCTCTGCAAACCTAGGCCTGACACATCGGTGAACACTGGAGCCCTGGTTCAATGTTTTCTGGGATTCAGTGCATTGAGCAATTCTGTCTCCAGTGAAAAGCCTCTGGTCATTCTGGAGGGTCGACTCCTCGGTGAAGCCCCTCTCGAATGGATCCCACTGAGCACTTTGTTCTCCATTTCTAAATCTCTGATTTAAGGTCAGTCCAGTCCAATCTTCCAAATGGCTCAAATCATTATTCTTAGCATGGACTAGGTTACTTTTCAGATGTTCCAAATGGTCTGTCCACAAATAGCTATGTTTGAATATCTGATTGGAGCTTGTGCTGACAGAAACACACTGCTCTGCAGAAACAGTTGACTTAAAAAGGAAGGTTTTCCACAGTGGTTTATATCCTTCACCATTTGGGGCAGTGAGATTCTCATTAAGGGCAATTGCCTTGCTTTGGGTCTGTCGCCCAGAATTTCTTTGATGCCCTTCACTCTCCCCATCATTGTCCCAGTCTGTGCGTAAGTGTAAAATCTCAACAGCACTATGTTTGTATCTGTGCATTGATACCTTCTGGAAAGAACCTTCTATACTCCGCTTTCGCAGGAAACTCTGGGTGTCATGTGACGATACAGCTCAAAGATACCAAATAAGAGTAAAACCATTGCACTTACTACATTCAGAAGAATATACTGATGACTTCTAATACAGAAGCATCAAGTCAATCAAAGTCAGAAAGATGGCTGAGAAGGAGTCATCAGGACCTCATTTCTCCATGGATGCACAACATGGCACACAACGTACTGAGCACAGAGTCTAATAGAGAATTCTGCGATATGGTCATGGTGTAGCACAAATCACTTTCCTGTATCTCTAACAATCAGGAAAAGGGTCACATGAGCTCAAAATTAGCATAAGAATAGAGGATATAGAAACAGAAGACTGAACTGAACCAAACAGGATACAGTAAAAATAGGAACACAAGCACAGGAAGAGTTGTTTGGCAGAAAAGATCAACAACACTGACAGCCCATGAACTAAATTAAGAATAACACAAAAAAGACCAACTAAAATGACAGGTGAAGAAGTGAAAGCAGATACAGTGTAACTGACTGTAGGGATAAAAGTAATTATAAGAGGCAACAATGGATAATCAGTGTCCACAAATTGTTAATAAAAGACAAGTATACATTTCAAAAAAGGTATAACCAATTTAGACTCCATCACTCAGAAAAGTAGAAAAAAAATCTCAGCTGATCTGCAAACATGAAGCCGAAAGAAAGGGGAATAAAATTAAAAAGCCCAACAAACAAAAATTGTGTGCCAGATGAGTTCACTGGATATTCAAACAGACACTGAAGGAGAAAGGACTGCAAATCTCCTCAAACATTTCCAAGGAGTGACGATCAGAGAAACTAGCAGAACACTCGCTCTGTGGCACCAGCATTCCCAGCTCATGCAAGCCAGACGAAGACACTACAAAGAACGAAGTTTGCAAAACTCTACCTGTGACGCATATTCACTCAAAGTCCACAATAAAATAGAGGAAACTGAATCAAAAGCACATTTTCCCTTTTTACAAGATGATCAAGTGGGAAACGGACCTGGAATTAAGGGCACTCCAACATACAGAAAACCATAAATTCAAGACTCCACATTAACAGAACGAAGGGCAAAAATGACATGATCACATTAAGGGAGACAGAATACAAATATGGTCATACCGGACAACATGTCGATAAAAATACTCAAAGGAGAGACAGAAGGAAACCCCAACCTAATGAAGGCCACAAATGCATGAAAAGCTGAAACCTATTCAGGAGGGACAGTCTGCAAGCTTCTCCTCTATCATCACTGCCCACCACTGCCTTTGAGCATAGTACTAGATTCTCTATTCAGAACAATTATGCAAACAAAAATAGAGTAAAGGAATCTAAACTGAAAAAGAAACAGTAAAACTCATTTTTCACATGGGACATGATTACTGAAATCCCTCAAGATCATCATTTTAATTTTTTTACTGTTTTTGGTCATTGTTTGTATTATTTATTTCTGCCAGTTTTTCCCTACTAGACTTCCCATTTCCCAAGTTTTTCATGTTATACAATACAGAGTTAAGAAAAATGTTGGAATAAACAATTTCCACCAGAAGAACTAAAAAAGGAAGAGACTAGGATGAAACTTAGTAGGGGGATGATATAAAGAAAAGTGTGAAATAAATAAAGTAGAAGATTAGCATTAATGGAACACAGAAAGTAATGCCCATTTCAATCAATAAAACAAAACTGGCAATGCTTTAACTCCACAAACCATTACATAATAACAAATGGGGAAATTTATTTTTTTAAGATTTTAAGATTTAATTTATTTATTTGACAGGCAGAGATCACAAGTGCACAGAGAGGCAGGCAGAGAGAAAGAGAGAAGCAAGCTCCCCACTGAGCAGAGAGCCCGATGCAGGGCTTGATCCATCATGACCTGAGGTGAAGGCAGAGGCTTTAACCCACTGAGCTTGCCAGTGCCCCCAACTAGAGAAATTTATGAAAAAACAAAAACAAAAACAAAACAAAACAGAGAATTCCTAAAATTAGACAAGTTATTAAGACTGATTTCCTAACCATGAACCAAAGAAATGGAACATCTCCTGAGATCAGTAAGAAGGATGAAAATCGAATTTGGAATCAATACTCTAGTAGCACAGACAGAAAAGCCCAAGACCTAGGAATTTTACTACAACTGATGGGGTCAATGAATTCCCTAAATGCAATCCTGTGTTGCATGATTCTTCTCCCTCTCTTGCTGAGATTCAGTATTACTTCATTTGCTTTTTATATGACAAAGTCATTCTTCTGCTTCTTCCAGCCTGCCCTCTACATCAAACCTGTTTCTAATCTCACTTACTGCATTGTTCATCTATGTTTGATTTTTTAAAAAGACATATATTTGAGGGGGGGAAATCACAAGATTTCAGGTGGGAGCTACAGAGAGAGGGAATCCCATTCAGGCATCACACTGAATACACAGTGTGATTTGAGCCTACATCCCAGGACCCTGAGATCAAGATCTGAGCAGAAATCAAGAATCAGTACTTACCCAAGTGAACCACCAAACACCCAATTATTTTTTAACTCTTATCTCTGTGGTAAAGTTCTCACTATTGTTTTCCCAATTCCTTGAGTATCCTTATGATTGCGACCTTAAATTCTCCATCAAGCTCCTTACTACTGTTTCCACTGGATCTCTGGCCTTGGTCTTATCTGCTGGTTTTCTTTGGGATAAATTCTTTCATCTTGGCATTTGTCTAACTCTCTACTTTCCTCTGTGCATTAGAAAAGTCAGTGATGTGTCTGTCCTGTTGTATCCTTCAGACCAGTGGTCTGCAGGAGCTCTCCTTGCCTGCTACGGGCAGTGTTTGGTCCCTGGCCTGAATGTGGCCAGTTTGAACTAGGTCAGCTCTGCTCTGGTTGTGAAAAGAGACTGGATGTCAAGTCCACCAGGACTGCAGCCCTGCAGAACCTCTGCTCAGGAGACGTGTTGTGGGCAGGGGCTGAACCTTGCTGAGCCTGAGGCAAGCCTCACTGAGAAGGGTAGTCGCCTCAGATCACAGGGGGTGAGGCCTGGTGTAAGCAAGGCAGACAGCCAGTGTCCTCACTGAGTGGGGCTCAGTCTCTATGCTACAGGACAGGAGAGGGCTCCCATGTTTTGGAAGCCACATGTCACTGAATGTTTCCTCTCAGGAATGTGCTCCTAGACTACTGAATACTCTCCCCACTGTGCACCCCAGGTGTTCTCCAGATGACTGTTTCCACGCTCGGTGCCCCCAGGTTGTTTGCCAACCTTCTGTCCGGGAGCACCCCAGTGCCCTCCTGGTTCTATCCCAACCAAACCTGCTGACCATGAAACCTCCAGGCTTTCAGATGTGCTGGTTCCAAGAACTTATGAAATTCAGCCCTTTTCCCTTTCCAAGCCAATGGCTTTGGGGAACCTCCTGAGGCATCCCCTGAGTGCTCCTCTGTCATGACACCTACTGCACAGCCGGGGCTCCCTGCCCTCCACAATGCTATACTCCTCTCCTCCCTAAACCACATCTCCACACTATCTGCCATCTTCCACGTGGCCTCTTCTGCCTCTTACTTGGAGAGTTTGTCCTGTCACTCTTCAGTCCAATGGGGCATTTAGGATGACCTGACAGTTACCTAGTGGTGCTCATGACAGGACACATGAGTCTAGGGTCCTCCTACTCCACTGCCCTTGCTTCTTCTGTGAATCTTAATTGTTTTAATCCTGTTAAAACTCATATGGATTTTATAAATCTGGTATGCAAACCAACACATAAAACGTAATTTGTTTCTGCACAACAAAGAACAACTCCCAAACAGAGACATCATACATTTAGAGCAAACCCCCTCCCCCCACAAAATGCTTCCAATTTAACATAAGGGTAGAGGTCAAACCAGAAACGATGAAAAGTGTAATATACTGTGCTGGTTTCAAAGAATGAATAACTAGGAAACGCCTCCATATTCTTTCACTGGAATAACTGAAACACAATAAATCTTGAAGTGACCTACAGAAAATGCAATCTCTACCAAAACTCCAATGTCATTTTTGCACAAAGAGCAAAATCCATCCTAACATGTGATGTCATGGGATAACCCATGCCCAAAATAATCTGGGAAGTGAAGAGCACATATCCTGATTTATGGCATACGAAGCACAGATGTCAAACTAATGTCCTACAGACATGATGTCAGGAGTAGAATAATGGAAGAGTCTGGCTGCGCTAGACGTGTACTGCTCCAATGTTAATGTGTATGTCAATGCACTGAAGATCCTATTAAAAGTCATATTCTGATTTGGATGTTTGGGTGAGGTCGGAGTTTCTACTTTTCACAAATGTGCCACTGACGTCTTACATCGACAATGCATGCTTCCCACAGAATTCCAGGACTGAATCATGATGAAGAGTTTCAAAGGTTCCTAAAAAGCGGGAAGAGCACAGAGGTGAGCATGGAGTCCTTCGCTTCCCTTCCCTCTTCATTCAAGCCAACGCTACCCCTATAAAATTTTCTCTGGACCTTCTCTTATTTTTCTTTCTTCAATTCACCACACCACTGTATTCATGGAAACAGCTCCCTCTTTCATGAGAAACGCAGGTGCAATCTGCTTCTGGCTGCAACCCTGGATTTTGTAGCTTGGACCCCACTGCATCTGTGGTCTTTATCAATTTCAGGTACCCCTGCATTTTTTCCTAATACTCATGGCTTCAGGCTACAGGATCACTTCTTTCCACCTAGGCTTCCTCCTGAAAACTGACTTTGGTGGGGGGCCTGAGTGGCTCAGTGGGTTAAGCCTCTCCGTTCAGCTCAGGTCATGATCTCAGGGTCCTGGGACCAAGTCCTGCATCTGGCTCTCTGCTCGGTGGGGGGCCTGCTTTTCCCTCTCTACTTGTGATCTCTCTGTGTGTCTAATAAATAAATAAATCTTAAAAAAAAAGAAAGAAACAGACTTTGGTGAAAATGAGCACAGTTATAAAAGTTGGTTACCCTTTCTGGTCTTCTCCA